TTTGGTACTTAAAAATGAGAAACTTGTGGCTGGGCACAGTGGCTAACACTTGTAATCCTAGCACTTTGGGAGGCCAAAGCAGGAGGATAGCTTGAGGCCAGGAGTTCAAGACCAGCCTAAGCAATAGACATAGCGAGACCTCATCTCTACAAAAAACAAAAAAATTAGCCAGGTGTGGTGGCTTACATCTGATGTCCCAGCCACGGGGGAAGCTGAGGCAGGAGGATCCCTTGAATCCAGGAGTTCAAGGCTACAATGAGCTATGGTTGTGCTACTACATTCCAGTCTGGGCAGCAGAGGGAGACCCTGTCTTCCCCTCTTCCCCCTCAAAACAGAGAGAAATTTAGTCATAAATGCAGTATGTCCTCAGTCTCAAGCTTAGGTAAAGCTGTACCTCATATATCAGAGCAACTTTCCAATAAGTTTTCAAAACAGGTCAAAATTGGTATAAAGAAGCTATTTCTCCCTACAGTATTGTCAGAGAGTCCTAAGAACCAGGGAGAGGAGGAGGAGCATGACTCATCTGTCCTACCTACTTCTGGCCTCAGTGTAAAAAGTGTTTACCATCACAAGTTTGATCAATAAATAAAATGGTGAGTCATGCATTTCCAAGATCTCACTTTAATAAAATCTTAGTGAGTACAGGCTCTTAACAGCATAATAAAGTTATCTGCTTTGACCTGCTTAGCTGAAGGTATTCAACCTAAAAATATTATTAAAGCTCTAGGTAAGCTCAGAATGTTTTATTGATTAAAAAAATGTTTATTGAATATCTAGTATGACTATATACTATATGCCAAGCATTGTGCTAAAGGCTGAGGACATAAAAATAAAGAGAATAAATATTGTCTCTGCCTTATAGGGAGACAAGACATAACTATGTACATAATAAAAATACTAAAAGTAAACAATGAACACTTATGATCCCAATCTGTTCAAAGTAATTTACTTATTTAATCTTCATAATAACCCTATGAAGTAGGTACTATTATTAATTAAACCTTATTAATCAGTGAACACAGTCCAGCACGTGTGGCATACTTGGGCTGGCTGTCTGGAGCAGGGTGACAAGAGGTGGGGGAGACATGAGAAAACAATGAGTAGAGGTTTCGCAGCATGCAGGTATGCTATGGACCTTCCTAACTAGCCACCAGTTCTACTTTAGTATAACTTCTGTGACCAAAGCTGTGATCATCACAAGAATTTATTTTGCATTTTTCATACTCTAGAAAAAATGAGCGTAAAGATTGTTGGAAGAAATGGTGAATGAAGTTTGGACATGAGTAATGAAGACACTGCTCTATTTAGTGATGATTCAGAGGAGTACCATCCTAGTGGAGATAGCGGGGACAGTCCTGATAGCAGTTGCAGCCCACCAACAAAAACTGGAAGAAGTACATTACATGCAGATCTTTCTGGTGGGGAAGGCTGTTTAAAATTTATTACTGAATAGAAGCAGTTGTAGCTGATTTCAGTGAGAGTGATTCTTTGTCAGATGTTTCTGAAGAACGTGTAGTGACTAGTGTAAGTTCTCTGTCCTGGGGTCCAGTTTCAGTGAGTAACATGAAGATTTTTGACTTTGTTGAAAGTAACCCCGGTGTTCCAACTGAAATTGTGGTAAATCTCCATGAAAATACATCTTATGATTTTTCTTCATAATAGATGATGTTACTGACTACATGGTGAAGGAAACTAATATCTATGCCAGTCAGACTTTACAAAAGTTAATATCAAACCCCTACTCCCAACTATAAAAGTGGTATGATGTTACTTCTCAAGAAATGGAATGATTTGGGGGAGTATTGTTTTGGATGGGCCTTAGCAAGAAGCCAGACTTCTGGACTATTGGTGGAAAAACATTTTGTATGACAATTCAGTGAAAAAGTTTATATCACGTAACCGCTTCGAAATGCTTCTGAGAATGTGGCATTTCTCTCAGTGAAGACTATCCTCCTAGTGACCGTCTCTTCAAGATCAAGCTACTTCTTTTCTTCTCGAAAGGTTTCAGGTTGCTATAATTCCAGATAAGGAAATATGTATTGATGAAACAATGGTGCCACTTTGAGGATGATATATATACTTCAAGCGGCCCCTGGCTCAAAACTAGCATGAGTTAAATACAACTCACATGGCAGTTAATGTGTTAAACTGGGAATACATATGGGTGGGCAGTAGTATGTATGCTAATTTATAGGAGAAAATGTTGTATATTTTCCTGAAGAGTTAGTTTTACTTAAAGGTTCTTTTGTTTTGTTTTGTTTTGAAACATTTTCATGATAAATGTGGAATGTAGATTATTTTAAAGAAAAAAAGTATAAGACTTTCAAGGAATTTCCAGGTTTGTTTCTGGATGTCCCTTCAGACTACATCCCAGACCCCTTTGGTGAGCATTCAAATTCCTCTGTCCTAAAAGTACTTCTAAAGAAAAGCCAGGAAGCACTGATATAGGTCAATGGAGAGGAAGGGTGGAGAAAGTATCAAAGTATCACTAAGAGAATGCTTCCTCTGTAACAAGTACTATATTAGATGCTTTCCACATATTATCTTTTTAAATGCCTACAAAGATACTACAAAAAGGCATTATTTCATTAATTTTATAGAAGAGAAACTTTAGTAAATTTAATCTAAGCTGCAAAGCTTACAGTGATGAAAATGTTTTATTATATAATATTGGAGTGATAAAAAACATTTATCATTGAAATATTATGATTAGTTCTTATGGGAAAAAATAGATAGGATAGCTAGGAACCACTCTGTAAAAATAATTTATCACCAATGTGAATCTTTCAGTCTTAATGTAGATCCTGTCAGAAATTAGGTCTATATTTCCTAGTAAAAGCTAATTAGTGGTATTAACAAATTCTAAGATACTCAGAAATCTTATTAGGATAACACGGTTAATTTTTAGTTAATGAAAACTAGGGGAAAAAACTTAAGCCTTTATATCTATAATTTTTATATATTATTTATTCGCTAGCACATTTTGTCCCAAATAAAAGCAATGCATACTATCAATTAAGATTTTACCTAGTTTTATATGAATAATACTGAAAAGACTTTTTAAAGGATTTCAGAAAGTAAACCTGGAGATGTCAAACTCTTTTGAAATTGAGAGGCTAAACTATAATAGCATGAGGCTTAATTTTTTCATAGAACACTGCCAGTTAAATTTACAACTTGTATCTTTATATACTGAAATAAATTTGATGGCTCTTACTTTAAAAAAACCTAAAACATAATATACAAATTCACCAAATCAAGTTGATAAGGGATTGATTATTACAAGAGAACTTACTGCAGAATCTCTTAAAATAAGGAGCTTTACTAATGGATTTTAAATTAGCCAATTTATAAACAAATAGGTTTATATAAAACCTTTCAGAAATATATACATTGGGCAAAGTCCCAAACAGGGGAAAAAAAAAATGAAAGGATGTGCCAAGGACAATTACTCAAAAATGAATAAATCTGTTAATAAAGATACTAACTTTATTAAAATGGGCCTAAAACAGTCTTTGTTACTATTAATCCGAAAAATAGTTTCAAAGATAATGGTATATAAAATCCATTGTTTTGTAATACACATTTGTGAGGATAGTCCTAAAGGAGCATTGACTTATAATGTACATAGTTATTAAATATAAATTTTAAAATTCATATTTTTCTTAACTTGCCTGACAAGTTAAAATGTGAATATTCAATTTATTGAATCTGTTACAGATGACAAAAGCAAAATCTTTTTATTAATGACATATAAAACTGAGTAGAAGTGATTAATACTTTCATTATTCCTTGATATATTAATTCTCCCTATTTCAAGGCTTCCTAAACATTGGGTAAAGTCATCTATATAGATTTATAGGCAAAAGTCTCAAAAATGGAAGAAGAAATAGAAATCCAAAGGTATAATAACAAAATAACAAAAATTTTTTTCTAATTGTGTAAATTAAAGGACCCCGGTCATGTCACGAAAGTATATACTCTCTGAATAATGTGTATTTAAGAACAACTCAGGAAGAAATATAACTGAAAGAATGAGTCTAGATGAAAATGTCTTTTTCTTTGAGGTGGCTGAACACCACTCCAAATATTCTAATTTTGAAAAGCCAAGTTCCTACTTTTAGAACATTTCTAAGTTACCATGGTTAGCTAAAGAGCTAAAAAGAATAATTAAAAGCCAAAAGCCAGTCTTTTGAGAAAATTCAATCTGTAAATTCAATTTATCTTAATTTGACAATTATCAAATGGTCTAAAAAATAAGCAAAAAAAGTAAATTTCTAGTTTAGCCTGAATTCAACTGGGAAAATAGACAATAAACATCATACAACTTGAAAATTATGTCAAAATTTTAAAAGATTCTTAAATTATGCAAGAACATCCATTTGTAAACACTCCAGTTAATGAAATAGTAAGATAAATTTGATGTATTAAGGAAGTTTGTTTACAAAATTCCAGGTTATTTTTTAAAAAGGTATTTTACTTAAAAGGATATTGCAATAGGAAGTAGAGACATATTCTGGAATCACAATCTAACAAGAGAAGCAATCTAATCTTCACATTTACATTAAAAAATTGAGTTTTTAACAGCTTTCTTTGCAATGAATATTTTTTAAATATGAAACTATTTTAAAAATTTATATACACACATAAATATATAAAATAAAAGAAGACCAAATTAAAAATTAAATAAATGTGCCAAATGACAGTTTCTTAATGGCTTCCCTGAAACCTAAGTGTCAAATTCTCTTAGGCTGCATTTCTTTTTCTACAAAGCTGAAAGTAGGCCCTATAGCTTAGAAATCCATGTAACACACAAATACTCTATTCATCATACTCACAGGCTTAAGTTTTTCTTCCTCATTAGTCAAAACTATACAGTCTTTTCCCCGGAAAACCTGAAAGGCTTTTTATTTACTGGTCCTGTTATTACCGGACCTGGCACATCAGTAATGACCCACACTTTCACCTCCAGCCAGCTCTTTATGCTGTCCAGAACTTACTGTGAGTTACAGGTGATACTTCTTATAGTAGATGTTGATTACGGTCCCAAAGCACAAGAGATGCTCCCAAAGGGGCTTAGAACCCCTAACATCACCTGCTTCTTTTTGTATCCAGAGAAGCAATGTGCTATTTGTTTTGAACAACTAATGATTTCAAGAAAGATTATACAGATGAATTCTTTTCATTAGATTGCTTTACATAGGCTTATTCTTTCAGCATACTGCAGCAAATATAGACTGTACGATTCCATTAGGATAAAAGAAATATTTTTATACAATTTTTCTCTGTGGCGCAGTTTAGTTCACCCTTCTGTTAGAGCAAATTGCTGGAAGAACTGGTTCTTAGGTTTCTAATGGCGCAGTGTTAACACAGTGAATGATTCACGGATGTTCTTCTTAACATTCAGGAGTAACACGGAAGGCTAGCAGTGCAGCCCAGGTCCAGAGCTGATGAATGGTGCAGTGCTGCTGTTGTCATAGCAACCAAGAGGGAAAAAAAAGCAGCACCATATAAGGAGCTGCGACATGGATTCTGGGAACAATTTATATTAAAAAGCTGTAAGCTCCTTATGCCTTAAAGCTGTAAACTCCTGTCTTACTGATTCCTTTTCATGTTTCTCTTCTGAATTTCTGAATCAGAGCTATGTGAATATACATCACAAACTACAGTAACTAGGTAGGCACCAACAAAAAACTGCATATTGAGGTAATTTAAAACAATAATAATACTTCTGGCAAGCTAATATGTGTCTGCAGTATCTTCAAAATTTATTAGGTTAAATGTTAGTATGATATTTTGTTGAAATGTAAGGAACTATCTAGAATTTGAGATAGAAGAAAACTCACTTTTAAATACTTAGAGATATTAAAAACCTAAATGCCTTTTATTCAGAAGATATGCATCAAACATACCAAAACTGCAGCACCATCAACTGATTGACTAATAAAGTAGCAATGACAACAATTTCAGAGAGAGGCATACTATATCCTGCATTCCTTCCAGATGCAGAAAGGTCCAAAAGACACTAACTTCACTGCGAATGCTCATAGCCTTCCTTCATGGTCAAGGAAGGTTCTACATTAATCACTGGTAAGACAGAGTTACTGTTCCATTCCACACTTCTGAAAGCCTCTTCCTACTGGGCCTGGAGAACCTTTTTCTTGTCATAGTTTCTCCTCACCTCCCAAGAATAAGGAAGAGTTCTTCCTCTTGCGGCTGAGAGCAGGATATCTTCCAAAAGGAATAATGGAAGAAAGGGGAGCCAGGAAAAGCACCAATGCATGAATTGTCATAATGGTACTCTCTATGGTGTACTGGACATGGCTCTGAACTGACTTGTGCAGGAAAAAAATCTTTCATTACACTTATAAAAGATAGTCCACAGGTGCTATGCTATTTCATCTATTTAGATAGGGCAATTCCATATAGAAATTGTTCTATATCATAGCAGTGTGTGTTATTGCATTTCCATCACCAACTATTTAATGAAATGTTCAGATACAATATAAGGCAAAATATTAGGTAATTTTTTATTGCATTTTTCTCTTACATGGGCAGCACTACCATTATAATTCTGGTACAATTATGCATCTCTTGGTCACAGAATTATGACACATTTATCTCCATAAATGATAACCTCAGTAAAACATTACTAAAAAGGATTACAATGTAGTGGAAGACCATGCATTTGACTAGTCTGCTGACTGTAGTTGTACTATAGCTTAGCTACTTACCAGACATAACCCTGGGTAAGTCACTTAACCACTCTGACCCTCACATTCATCACTACTAAAGTATGGTTAATAACATATTTCTACCTTCTTCCTAAAGCTATTGTGGGAATAGAACAATGTAATGCAAAGCCTTGAAATTCTAGAAATCTATGTTATCTTATTTTAAAATAACTTAATTAAGCAAATGAACAAAGATAAAAAGGAAAAATGGACTTCAATAGAATAGAAATTTGCCTGAAAGGGTAAATATTTTCTAGGCTAGTTTTTCTGTTTGATTGGATATTTGATCTCATCACATTGCACATACTTGTCACAAATAGCTATTTCTTTTTAGAATTGCAGTAAACAAAGATACTGTGGACTAGTGTTAAAGGATTATCTAAGATAATCATGTAAAAGTAATTCTACTGCCCCAACATGAGTCATACCCTTTAGAAAATGGTAAGTTGGCAACAAAGAAGTATAAGCACAGAATGGTAATACTAATGGTAATACTAATAAGTACAGAATGGTAATACTAAAGAACATGCAAAGAGATAAACTTCTTTCAAATTATCTTCAATTAATTTTTATCTCACCTAACTAGAAAACTGTAAGGTAAACTTAAAAATCAGCATTTATGTTTGATTTGAAAATTCCATGGATGGCATACCTTAGTTCTGTTTCCTTGATAGCCTACTCACTTCCATCTAGTAAGCTTTTAAAATCAAATATTGTCTTGGCCCAGTGGCTTTTTTTGAGAGAAACTCTCTATAGTTGGTACTTTTTAGAATACCAATAACTCAATACCTTAAGAAAAAGAGAGTAAGTTTCTCTCTCACCTCTCAACCCACTAAATTAAGTTGAGCTGGTCCAGGCATTAGATAGATTCCAGAATAGTTCTGTAAAAAATGTAAACTTGGACAACAAATTATTTTTCCATTGACTTTCATTTTAATGTTGCTTATGCTCTACATAGCTGACTGGGATGAGAACATGGTTAAACTACCTTAAAATACAAAGTACATAGGTTTTGTTTTGTTCAAAAAATTGGATTTAAGTTAAGGTAAGGGTAGAGAGAAATTTAAGAAGCTAAGCTATTCCCCTGGCTATTAATTTTTTACTCCCTTATGATTTTAAGTCACTCGTGCTAAAACTTATACAGAGTTTTACATTCTTTTTATTTTTATCCTTTTTCCAGTCTTCCCCATTATAAGCTTTATCCAAGGGGTAAGCATTAGTGCTAAACTCTAAAGTGTTTAAAGGTAGGGTAATACTTACAAAGAGATGAATATATGAAATCTCTATTCCCACAGAAATAAAATATCCATCCTTCTTGTTAGAGCAATTCAAGTTTTGGCACAATTTCCATGTGGGGTTATGCCTTTTCTAGCAATGGCTACTGCTGCATATCAGGACTTTAACCCGCAACAGTAGGGTGATGACTGATAGACAAGAGAAAGAAATATATTCTTAAAATTCATATAATGTGGCCCTTACATATTAGCCAACTATTTCATCTGATGGTCAATAAAAGAGTAAGATTGTTATAACTCTAAAGGATAAACAGACACAGTTTGACATGTTGAGAGCAATATTTCTGTTTAATGAATGTCATGAATGATATTTAAGGGATTTCTGAAGATAATCTTTATTATACTCAGTTTTTACTTTACATTTTGACTTTACTACCTAAATTCTGAATAAAATTTTCTCAGATGTGTGATGTTACCAGGTGCAGTGGCTCACACCTGCAATCCTAACACTGTGTAAAGCCAATGCAGGAGGACTGCTTGAACTCAGGAGTTTGAGACCAGCCTGAGCAAGAACAAGACTCCATCTCTACAAAAAATAAAAATAAAAATAAATTAGACAGGTACAGTAGTACAGGCCCATAGTCCCAGCTACTAGGGAGACTGAGGCAGGAGGATGGCTTGAACTGTGGAGTTGAAAGTTGCAGTGAGCTATGATGATGTCACTGCATTCTAGTCTGGGCAACAGAGCAAGAATCTTGTCTCCAAAATAAATAAATAAATAAAAATGTGATGCTACCTGCTACCTCTAAATTAGAATTATAACATTTGAAAAAGATTATGAGCTGGCAGGTAGCCCTTTTGGGATGGTTTTACTCATAAGTAGTGCATAAAAGGGTATATTTAGTTAAAGATATACATACTGAATCTTCTTTCTATCACTTTTTATTTAAACTAATCTAATTTACAAAATTATATATATAACTTTTTTAAAAAAATATAATCACTTTCAAAAACAAGAAACAAACTTTAACCAGAAATAAGGGGGAAACATAGATGTTCAACCAACTCTGGTAAAACTCAAGACACTATTCATTATGCTGTCTAAACAAAATCATCAAAACAAAATGGACAGTTCTAAAATGACCATATTTTCCATGAGAATAAAAATATCATTTAGCATTATAAAAAGTTCTGTCACTATAATATGAAAATATATCCTGCGCTAAGGCTTTATGTCATTCCATACAATAATTTATTTCCTGTTTAGAGAGTAACTAAGGATTTCTTTTGAATTGTGAATATTTATTTGATCTTTCTGATGCTTTGTGACAGTAAAGTGTTCCTGACGGTTGACATTACTTAGCCCTTACATCCAACATTTAACACTTTTTAAACTGCTCACCTTCCACGGCAGGTGGGCAGTAAGCAAGTAGGAAAGGACAGGGTAAATTAAATAAAAAAACAGACTTCCTGGAGTGTGGTATAAAATTGTGGTGAGTTTTCTGGGGAAGATCAGACAGGAAGGATAATAAAGGATTTTTTATTGCAATTTTCATGGTGTTTGCCATGTTTAAAAGTGATATCCGATTCTTGGAGCCACCACATAGTAGCTAAAAAGGATATAAAAGATTATTAATCAAGTGATTGACAACTTTTTAAACTGTTAGGGTTCCTTTTATTATTCCCCTTCTCATGGACTTACATTTTGAAAGATTTTTATCAAAATTTTTATTTATTAATTTAAACAAAGATATATAACTACTAATTGTAGTTTCAAATAAACATGAGCTGATCACAGTGTGGTAATATAATACTGTGCTAAGCAAAATAAGGTAGTCTATGTAATTTTATGACAAGCAAATGTATGTTATCTATCAGGTGTTTTAAATATTGAGAATTACATCCAGGGAATAACATTACATTTTTTGGAGCTTAACAGTGGTAAGGATAATGATATTTTAAAAATAAGTCACTGCCAAATCATATTTACATGTTTGTCACAATAAAGTGCTAGGCACAGAGAGAAACTCTGTACAAACAATTCTGTGTTCTTTCTTAGCCCTACGGTCTTATTATTTTCATTTTACATATGAGAAAACAGAAGTTCCAAAAGAATTATGCTGCCCAAGAGATTTTATAAATGAACATGTAGAATTCTAACTTAGTTCTTTGTCATGGGCTCCTGATTAGTTCTTTTGGGCCTAGAGTTCTGAGCCTTAACTTTGCCATAATATAGACATCCCAGGAAGCTCTCTTGAAAACAAACATTACTTTATGATGTGTCCTCATTGTTAGACATTTTTCTTGATGCTGCCTACTTACCTGCCCTGGAACTTTGTCTGTTGCCTGCCCCTACATTCTCTCAGATTAATAGGCTCTACCTACTTCCTGTGATGGCCAAGAATTACCTACTGCTGATCCATCCTAATGTTTAGGGTCTGTTCAGACATCCACTTCATGACTGATACCAGACTGCATCTTACTAAACTGCCTTCTCCACTGCAGGTCCTAGGTGTCCTTGGTTTGACCTTTCATTGGCCACAGCTCTAAAAGAAGCACTGGACAAGGTTAATTCTATACTTCAGATTTTAGGCAAGCATATTTCTTTAAAAACGCAGAGAAAAGAAGCTATAAGCTAATGGTCAGTAATTTTAAAAGGGAATATAGTTTGAGAGTATAGATTAAAAATTAAAATGTATACAATCATAAGCACAAGGAAGCAGCTAAAGAAATACATTATGGCCATCCCAAGAATTTTTTGATGAAGACAGATTTGTGGCCAAAAAGTATATACACAAAGAGAAAAAAAAAGGACATAATAAAAAATGAAGAGTGGAAACCTCTGTAATTATATTTTCAAGGAACAACAGAGCTCCAGCTGAGAAGAACTATGTTTTTAAGATAGCCAATAGGATTGTTAGGATAGTTTTGGAATAAAAAAATGGATGAGGGAAGCATAGCTCCACTACATGGGAAAGACAATAGTGTAATGATTTTGTTATTCTTTGAGCTAAACTCTCTACTAAATTCTTGACACACATGATATCTTATTTAACTCAGTACTTTGGGAGCCTAAGGTGGAAGGATTGCTTGAGCCCAGGAGTTTGAGACCAGCCTGGGCAATACAGCGAGACCCCTGTCTCTAAATTTTTTTTTTTTTTAAATTAGCTGGATGTGGTAACAATGCTATGTAGTTCTGGCTACTCAGGAGGCTGAAGTAGGAGGATTGCTTGAGCCCAGAAATTCAAGGTTACAGTGAGCTATGACTGCACCACTGCGCTGGTGGTGCAACAAGTGAGATGTGGGCAACAAGAATGAGACCCTGTCTCAAAAAAAAAGAAGGCAAAAAAAAAAAGGAAGAACCAACAGTAATGATAATAATAGCATAATATAGGTAAGAAAACATACTCAACACCCTTCATAATAGCAACAAAGAAAATAAAATACCTAGGAATATATTTAACTAAGGAGGTAAAAGACCTCTACTGACAGAGCTACGGAACACTGAGGAAGGAAGTAGCAGAGGAGGTAAAGAGGTGGAAAACCATACCATGCTCGTGAGTCAGCAGAATCGACATTGTTAAAATGTCTATATTACCCAAAGTGGTCTACAAATTCAATGCAATCCCTATTAAAATACCAACATCATTTTTTGCAGATCTAGAAAAAATAATTCTACACTTCGTATGGAACCAGAGAAGACCCATATAGCAAAAGCAATCTTAAGCAAAAAGAACAAATTGGGAGGCATCAATTGACCAGACTTCAAGCTATACTAAGAGGCTATAGCAACTGAAATAGCATGGCACTGGCACAAGAACACAGACATAGACCAATGGAACAGAACTGAGAACCCAGAAATAAAACCATCCTCATAAAGCCATCTAATCTTTGACAAAGCACAAAACATACACTGGGGAAAAGAATCCTTATTCAATAAATGGTGTTGGGAAAATTGGATAGCCACATTTAGAAGACTGCAACAGGGTCCACACCTTTCATCTCTCACAAAAATCAATTCTCAGTAGATAACAAACTTAAACCTAAGGCATGAAACTAAAAAAGTTCTAGAAGAAATGTTGGAAAAACTCTTATAGACATTGGTCTAGGGAAAGAATTTATGAAGAAGACTCTGAAGGCAATCATAGCAACAACAAAAATAAATAAATGGGACATGATCAAATTAAAAAGCTTCTGCAGGCCGGGCACGGTGGCTCACGCCTGTAATCCTAGCACTCTGGGAGGCCGAGGCAGGCCGATTGCTCAAGGTCAGGAGTTCAAAACCAGCCTGAGCAAGAGCAAAACCCCGTCTCTACTATAAATAGAAAGAAATTAATTGGCCAACTAATATATATAGAAAAAATTAGCACCGGAGCATACGGTGGTGCTGCCCTGTATCACGCTACTGGGAGGACTGAAGGCACCCGCGAGCCATGCTTGAGCCAGGAGTTTGAAGTTGCTATGAGTAGGCTGACGCCATGGCACACTCTAGCCTGGGCAACAAAGCGAGACTCTGTCTCAAAAAAAAAAAAAAAAAAAAGCTTCTGCAGAGTCATGGAAACTATCACGAGAACAAACAGATAACCTAGAGAATGGGAGAAAATATATTTGCATGCTATACATCCGATAGAGGGCTCATAACTAGAATCTATATAGAACTCAGGAAAATCAGCAAGAAAATCAAGCAAGCCCGATTAAAGTGGTGTGAAGACCTGAATGAGAAACTTTCAAACAGATAGACTATGGACCAACAAACATATGAAAAAATGCTCAACATCTCTAATCATCAGAGAAATGCAAATCAAAACCACCACTTATCTCCAGTGAGAATAGCTTCTATCAAAAAGTCCCAAAACAATAAATGTTGGCTTGGATGTGGAGAGATAGGAATACTCATACACTGCTGGTGGACTGCAACCAGTTACAACTCTGTGGAAAAGCAATATGAAGACACCTTAAAAGCTACAAGTAGAACTATCATTTGATCCAGCAATCCCATTACTGGGCATACCTACAAAGAACAAAGACATTATATAAAAGCGATATCTGTACTAGAATGTTATAGCAGCATAATTCATAATTGCAAAGACATGGAAACACCCAAGTGCCATTAATGCATGAGTGGATTAATAAAATGGGTATATGTATACCATGAGTTCTACTCAGCCACAAAAACAAGGATGATGTAGCACCTCTTGTTACCCTGAATAGAGTTGTAGCCCATTCTACTAAGTGAAGTATCACAAGAATGGAAAAACAATCACAATATGTACTCACCCATCAAATTGAATCAACTCTTAAATGACCAACACTTAAGTGCACATATAATAGTAACATTCACTGGGAGTTGAAGGTGGGAGGGGGAGAGAGATGGTAATTCACACCTAATGGGTGGTGGTGCGCACCATCTGGGAGATGGATACACTTGAAGCTCGACTCAGGTGGGCAAGGCAGTGTATGTAACCTAAAT